CTCTCTCTCTCTTGGAGGAGACGAATGGGAACAAGGGCGGATCTCCCCCCTTTTCAAGAAAGAGAGAGAGAGAGAGAGATGAAAAATTGGGTAGATTTCGTCCCCCTTTAGAAAGCGAGGGAGAGAGGGGGAAAGAGACAGAGGGAGAGAGAGGGAGAAAGAGAGAGAGGGGGAGGGAGAGCGCAAGCGTGAGAGGAAGAAAGAGAGGGAGGAGGGGAGATAGAGAGAGGAGCTAAAAGAAGGGGGCCAGAAATCCAACCTCCTTTGAAAGAGAGACAGAGAGAGAACCTGCCCTAGCCATGAGTGGAGAGAGATAGAGCTAATGTTAAACAGATAGAAAGAGATGAAAGGGGGTGGTGCCCCCATTTTATAGAGAGAGAGAGAAAGAGAGATGAAATAAGGGGGGTGGTCCACCCCTTTTGTTATGCAAAACCCATGTACTGAGGCATACATATACATGGGTACTCACACGTATTGCCTCTGCAGGCCGAGCCCAAGTGGACTACGCCGTGTCTGAAAACAATATTCACCAGTAAAATATGAGCTCTCATCATCCCCTTTGTTAAGAGATCAACAAGTTTTAACAATACAAAGCCAACATGCAGGATACTGATCTAGAGCTAACAGCATATCCTCTCCAATAAAATGAAAGCCAACCATCTGCATATCTCAATCACTCATGATACCTTGGATAGTTCACCATCTAAGTAGCACTCACAATATATGCATGCCTAGTATAATATATATCAATCAAACAACCAAATCATCCAATACAGTTCTCATTCATGTGATTCTAATACTGTCCTTTACTCCTCCACATGCCTTGATAAAAGTCAGAAAGCACTGCAAATACAAGTATTACATCACCCATCACCAAGAGATAACCTACTTTGCCCAGCACAAGCTATAAGAAAGAGAACAAGATGGAGCCATCCTTTCAGTACCGATCTCACAAACTTTCTACAGGTTTCAGTCCGCACCAAAATGATTATTTTTCTCACCAACACCTGCAAAAGCTTCCCTTGCCAGAAAATTGAACTATGAATCTAACATCAAGCCCTGAACCAGATAACTAGGTCATTTAAAGATAAAACAATGACCCGAACTATGATAGAACATCTCTTCACTCCTCATCAATGAAACCCTTTTACACTAAATATTGTTAAATTTATTTCCGCAATTTTGTGGAGTGATGTCCAATAATAGCCTACATATTGTTGCATCGAGTCAGACCGCAAATTACATGAGTTCTACTACTACTACCAGCTCCTATCTTATGGGAAATACACACAACTATGCAATTAATTCAGATACCAGTCCAACGAAGCCCCTAGATGAAAACAAAAACCCCAGGTAGAAAAAGGCACCAAACTGTACACCAAATCATAAACAAAAGCCCTAGACATATTCACAATTTGGGTACCTCAAAGCAAGTGCACCACAACCTTCAGAACCCTAGAACCAACACAATAGAAGCTTAAAACTCCAACAATAAACACATAGAAATCAAACGAGAAGAGAACATACCCGTTTATTGAGATAATCGACATTGAGGGAAACATCATCGAGCCTGAGGGTACCACCGCTGAGCTGCAAATCGAGCTGGGCGAGATCAATGTCGCCATTGATGAAATCTCGGAGGTATTTCTTTAACCAGTATTTGAAGATGCTTTTTGCTGATAATTCAGAGAACATCGACCCAACGGGTAGGGAGAACTTCCAAGGGAACATGGCTTGTTTATCTGAGGGGGTTTGGTCATGGCTCAGAGAATGGGGTCTACGTATGTGGTATCCGGGCCTTCAAGGAGACAGGCATGCCACGGAGATGGAGAAGGCGAATGGCGACGAGACAGAGATTATCATCAATGGGAGTAAATGAGGCTAAGACCTAGAGAGATTCGAAGACTAGGACCTAGAGAGAGAGAGAGAGGACGCGACTGGAAGGGAAGAGTATGGTTTTTTAGAGAGAGAAAAGGGTTCAGAGAAGAACAGCGGCCAGAGAGCAAAAAGGAAAAAGAGAGAGCTTGGGAAAGCAGTTTGGTTCCAAATTTTGGATGGCGTGCGGGGAAGATACTTGGATGATTGGATCCCTCCATACAGTTCAGCTAATCAAGGGCATTGATAGGTGGTCCGCGTGACTATTTTGTATATATGATTTGGCGCCCAACACTGTATTGGCCCTGGTACGGATAACGTTGTCTCACGTTAAACATGCCTTATTTTGTTAGTTTGCACAATTATAAAAAGGGCAAAAAGTTTATATAGAGCCGAGGCTCTAAACAATCGAATTTGAGCCTACTACAAAATTTCACTAAATGTTGTTTTTATGCTCAAATATCATCAAATTGATCATCTCGACATCAAGATGTATGAACATAAAAAAAAAAAATAGATTTCAAGTTTTGGAAATAGTGTATTTTGTAACATATTTTTGGATCGTCAATTTTCAAGATTTCATAGATCTGTCGATCTACACTATTTTTAAATCTTTAAAATTCATAAATAAAGATGAAAATATATTTTTAAGGCTATCACAAAGATTTCCAATATTGAAACCACATTTTTCGATACTATTTGGAGATAGGCTCTAATTTGATTGTTTAGAACCTAGCCTCTATACAAATTGCACCCTTATAAAAAGGGATTGTTCGTATAACATATCATTTTTTGTAGACGGAGGTCACACTCATTCTTACTTATAAGATGTTAAATTAAATGGCTTGAAATGAGTCAGGAAATCCAATAATTGTTTTTTTTGGAACTTTGTATCTATTCAATACACTATTATAGCTACCCATTTTGAAATTTAAGGGACAAAAATGATCGTTACCTCTATGTACAACAGATAAATGGTCTCTTTATTGATAATCCTTCATAAAAAAAAGAAATTATATGATGAGACTATTTACTTTTAATATAAGATGGTCACAATTAATTTTGATCATTGGATGTGAAATTTGGTGGATGCATTTATTTTATTGACCAAGTTCAAAGTTCAAAAGAAATTTTCTTGAACTTTGTGACACGCCCAAAGCCATCAGATTTCACATCGGATGGTTGTAAATAATTGTGACCTCCCTATATCGAAGGTAAATGGTCTCATTATATACAATCCCAAAACAAATGCGCCATAGTATTATTTATTGTGATAGCAGTGTATTTAGGTATATTGTATATATAAATATAATGAGAGATAGTAGAAGGACAAAAATACTTTAGAGAGAAAAATAAATTCATAAATATTTTTTAATTAAAATGTAAGGAGAGATAGATAGAAATAATAATAAATCAAAGAACAAAGGTAATTAATAATAGCATTTTAATATACTTATCTAATATTTGATAGAACATTATTTCTACATATACCAAAATATCATATTTGTGAGCATTTAGAAAGTTGTCGTGATAAAATTGTAAAATGATCATAAACAAATTTTAGAATATAGAAAATTTGTTTAAAATAATGTCACTATTTATATTTCATAAACTTTTATAAAAATGAACATGTCATTAACGAAAATTTGAAACATACAAAATCCAACATCTGCAAATGTAAGATATCTAAAACTGATCTTCCGCTTTTCTAGTAAATACATGCTTTATTTGTGATACTTTAAATTTAAAATATTTAAAAAATAAATAAAGCTGGTTTTCTTTTTAAATTATTAAAAAACTATAACAATAAATAAAATTCATTTCATGTTAATGTAATTAACTTAAAACCTTTGCAAAAATGTAATAAAATAAATAAATTGGTCATAGATACTTTTTGGAATATAAAATTTATAGATTGAAAATTGGTATGTTGGTTTGGAACAACTAGAATTTTATTAATAAATATATTTAAAATACAATAAACAATTTTAAGAATCTTGAAAATCCACAAACAATTGTTTAATGAAATTAAAATATTTAATTATAAAGAGAAACTTAACGATGATAGTTCTTGAAAACTATAAAAAACGGATTTTGAAAATAAAACTTAGCTTAAGAGAGATTAAAAATTCACCCTAATTACTCAAATATTTAAATACCCGTGATATAATGAAATATAGAAAAAAAAGAGTAGATAAACATGATAACGAAATGACAAATATACACTGGGACACGTAAAGTTTACGATAATTGTAAATCAATTACTTCAAAAGTTGAAGAAAACCTAATATCAAGAGGAGATTTACTTAAATTTACGTTGATTTGTTGATTCGTCGTTATTAAAAATTTATTTCTATACATGAAAATGCTTTGGCTGGTCTACAAAAATATCTTCCCTAAATACTGTAGTATTTCAATGTTTGACGGACAGGAACGGCTACAGTAAGAACTACAACTTCATCAAAAAGCTCACTTCTTCTTTTAAAAAGGGGAAAAGTTCAAGTTTTCAAAGTAACTTGTAATCATCCTACATACATGAAGTAGTCATCCAACAATATATCGATAATCTATTTACTATGATTTTTATAAAAATGTAGGTTTTTATATTAATCTTAAATAAATTACTATTTAGAACAGTGCAATGTGCTATTTTTAAGGTGGAACTATGTTGTGTTAGCTTGCGAACTTGTATCAATTCTTTTTAAAGAGGTATTAGAGCAATACAATGTATCATTTTTGTGATGATACTTTGTAGTGTTACCTATTCAACTTGTGTAAAATTTATTTTAAAAAAAGTAAACATGAATGTATAATTTATTGGGAAAATGACATCTATCCCGCTTCCCAAAATTTCCATCCCTATTAGCCCATTGAGTTCACCAAAATCCCTTGTACCCCTTCAAGTTTAAAACTTTGGAACTGTTAGCCCCCTAATTATAATTTTTTTTGTTCTTTTTACTAATGTGATGTTTTTATTTTACAAAATGTCAAACCCTTCCATTAGTCAACTTCCTTTCCTTTGTCTTCAGTTGCCTAAAACAAATATTACTTTTGTAGACTCCAATCTATAAATTTAGACATGAAAAGAAAATGATTTTTTTTTTTAATATTGACTTATTTTACAATTGCATCAATATCTTTTGAACTTGAAAAATGATTAATCAAGATCTTTATTACTATTGTTAATGGATTATTACCATTCATTTATTTATTTCATTAAAAAATTTCTCAAAATACATATAAGAGATGAATTATTTAACAATTAATATATTATTGTTGTTATTATTATAATTATTATTATTATCATTATCATCAATAAATTTTGTATATCGCTACAAAAAAAAAAAAGCAAAAGGATGACTAATGTGTGGGTTTGGCATTTTGTGATCAAATTTGTAAAGATAACATCACAAACATAATTAGGGGTCTAATGTTCTCAAAGTTTTAAAAGTTTTAAACTTGAAAAGGTACAAGGGATTTTGGTTATACCAAGGGGCCAATAGGGATGGAAATTTCGGAGAAAGGGTTAGAGGTCATTTTCCCTAATTTATTTAGGACGAGCTCTCTATGCTTCTCCAACAGCATAAAACTTATATACTTCCCCTTATCCAACCATCCATTTTGAGTGGAGGGTTAAGATTGCCCCAATCAGAATGTCATGTCTCTATACTATTTTATTTTTAATTTTTTTTAATAAACTATTTTGACAACAAATTTTGGACGTCCAATCCTTTATTAAACTCGTATTAGTGAAAAATATAAAAAACTATTTCCAAAAAAATAAAATGACCAAAATACCCCTTAAAACTTTAAGGGGTATTTTGGTCATTATATTTTATCGAAAAGTTATTTTTAATATTTTTTATAGCTGTGCCCCAATGAGAATATGGCACTTACAAAATTTCATATTTATACAATTTGTATATAAAAAAACTAAAAATAAAATACTTTGAGACATCAAATCTAAGATCAAACGGTGCGTGACTCTCTTGATCAAAATTGGATGGTTGGATGGTAGGGAAAGCATAGGTCTTTTACGTTTTAGGGGAAGTATAGAAACCTTTCCCATTTATTTAAACTTGATATATGGTTTCATTATAGAGTTTAAATAGGTATGGTCGTTAGAAGTTGAAAAATGGAAGTTCTTTAATTCTGATAGTATTATAGAGTTTAAATAGGTATGTTCGTTAGAAGTTGAAAAATAGAAGTTCTAATGTTGTCTTAAATCTACCTTAGAACAGTATAATATGTCCTTTTTTTATTGGTACTATATTGTACTATTTACTTAACAGGCCAAATTTATTTTAGAAAAGTTAGCATGAGTATAGATATATTGTCATTATAGTCACTATAGAGTATAAAGAGACATAAAGAGACATGTACATTACACATTGATGCGGGCCTCTAGGCTTTAATTGTGTAGTATGTTGTAGATTTGTATGTAATTAATGTTATGTTTCTTAAGACTCAATTAGATTTATTAATCAATTTTTTAAGAGTTCGTTAGGATCATTGGTTATAACTTATAAATAATAAATATGAGTAAGTTATAGAAATATATTTAGAACTTATATATTTAAATGTTATATATATTTATGTATTACAATTTATGACTTATACGAACTATTTAAATATATTTATAAGTTGTAA